ATTCGAGGAACGGCCCCGGGGACAGGGAGGCAACGGCAGCGGCGTCGCTCGCGAAGGGGGCTCGCAAGAGAACACAGCTCAGGAGGTGACACAGGAGCCGGACAAGGAAGAAGCTGAGAGGAACCAAGGGATGCCGATCGAGGAGGCAGATGTGGAAGATGAGAACGAAGCGCAGTCAGAGGGAACGGGCGAGGCGGAACCTGGGCCGACGGAAGAGAATGCGGGAGCAAGTCAGGCGGCGGTCGAGGAGTCAAGGACCATGCTGCAGGAATCGCGTGGTCGAGAAGGAAGTCGTGGGGAGGGACAGCGCACGAAGGGCTCCAGACGGCAGGAGCGAGGGGCACAAGACAAGGGCGCTCGGGATGCACAAGCGCCGAGACCGCACGGTAAAGGAAGGGCGGAGTGGTCGCGAACGCCGGAAAGGGATCAGCACCACGGGGAATGGCGCGTGGGCGAGTTCCGCATGCATCTCAGGCGACAGGACCAGGAAGGCTGGAGCGGCGGCGGCACGCGTTCGCCGGGACGGCGGCAGGCGCGCGATGACGAATGGAGGAATGAGCCGCGCTCACTCAGGCCGCAAGGGCGCCAGGAAGGGAGGCACGGGGCGGAGCGTGTGTCACAGGAGTGGCGTGGTCAGCAGCAAGGGGAGCGCAGCAGCACAATGCGCTCGTCGGGCCGGCCGAGTCAGCGAGCTCAGCGGGACAACGGCGGGTCCCGCTTGATCGATTGGCGCCGCACGCGGAGGGGAGAGGCACTCACTTGAACGCCGCCAGCAGTGCAGCAGGAGGGAAAACGCCTGGTCACCATCGCCAGAAGGGCGGCCGCTGCATGAGACTAGCAAGGGGGAGGGGCGAAAGGCGCGCAAGCCGCCGACGCCACAATGGGGACGGGCGGAAGAGTAGGGAGGGCCAAGGGAGGGGTGCCACGAGTCACGAGGGAGTCGTCAAGAGGGCAAAACGGAGGGCGGAACCCTAGTGCACGGAGCGGAGCGGGGACGGGAAGCCAGAAAAGGCATGCAGAGGGCAAGGGCGAGGGGAGCGGAGAGGGGTCGGCCAGGGGGAGCCAGTGAATCGTGGGGAGAGGGGCGAGGGGGTGCCGTCAGCACCCCGCGAGTGGAAGTGCCCGCCAGATTCTCGGGCGACCAACGAGCGGGGCCTACCCTCAAGAACTATCTGATCCAGGTAGGGAATGTGCGGTACCGCTGCGACCGGCACAACATGGACCTAGTGGACTTCTTTTTGAGCTTGCCGAACACACAGGAGGGAGAGGCCGAGACGGTGTACTGCATGAGGATGAAGGAACTGTTGTGGAGGGCAAGGAGGTACGGGGAAGACCCCACAGAGGCATTTTTGGAGCGGCTGCAGCGGCAATTTTCAGGTCACACGGCGGAGCGGATAAGGGAATTCCAGGAATTCAGCAGGGGCCGGGCCGGATCACTCTTGACCTACTACAACAGACTGATTAATGTGGCAGAGGACATGAGATGCACGGATAATAGTTTCTCATCAACAAGTTCCTGAGAAGCTTTGATGAGGACTTAGGAGGTGGGCTGAGGATGAGAGTGTATGAGTTGGGCGCGGAAGCAAGCCTGGAAGAGGTGTTCAATATGGCAGAGAGGGTGGTGTGAAATAATGAGGAATGATTGACTAGGAAATGAGTTTGGTACAAATATGTAACCCTAGGAAACTGTACCCCATTCTCTCCACCCCACTACAGCCTAGAAAGACTATAGCATAAATGTTTGGCACACCCCCATAGGCAAAGTGGGGGAGAACAAGGAGTCACAAGACCAGTCAAGCAAGGCAAGCCCAGGGTGGATCACAACATCACCAAACATTCCAAGCACAAGTTCAAGGCCACAAGGCCAGTTCACATGCAGGATTATATATGAAGGTAAACAAGCAAGTACAGGTATAGATAGATCACAGTACAAGCAAGGTCAAGAAGTGAGCAAGTGAGGCCAAGTAGGCACAAGACCTAGCATCGTACAAAAGCGCTGATGATCACAAGGCTGAAGTGCCTTGGTAAAGGTATCAGCACTGTTGGCCCGAGAGGCCACGTAAGCAAGGCGCAGGGGATCACGCGGCTGCAGCTCACGAGCAAGGAAGTAGCGAAGAGCAATGTGCTTCGTTCTGTGCTCTAGTCTGTGCTCCCGACACAAGGCCAGCATGGCCTTGTTGTCTACGTACAAAACTGGAGGAGAACAAGGCGGCTCTCCTAGGTCAGTCAGCAGGTAGGTGAGCCAGCGTAACTCTTTTGCAGCCATAACCCCCGCGTAGATCTCAGCCTCACAGCTAGAGCCGAGAACAGAAGACGAGCGGGTAGACCTCCACGAAACAGAGCCGGAACCAAGGCTGAAGGTGTAACCCTGTGACGACCGCTGCGTAGCCTGGTCGTCAGCCCAAGAAGCGTCTGCGTGACCAGTGAGGACTACTGACCGCCGCCCTCCAAGCACTAGCCCCATGCCCGACGTACTGCACAAGTAGCGTAACACCCTCTTTGCCGCAGCCATGTGCTCTGGTCGGTGTCTCGCAGGAGCAACATAGCGTGCCAAGATGCTAAGAGGGTATGCAAGGTCAGGTCGTGTGCAGGTCATCAGGTACATGAGGCAGCCAACAAGCTCTGGGTACGGGCCACTCGGCTCTATGGACTCATCCGAAGGCAGAGCTGAGAGCGAGTGGCGAGTAGGCGGAGGAGTGGCTTGAGGCGAGGAGTACGTGAAGTTGAAGTGCTGAAGGACCTGTTGCACCATGTGTGACTGAGTCAGGGCAATGGTGCGTGGTGCTCTCTCCCGGGTGATCTGCAAGCCAAGGTAGCTGCGCAGTTCCACCAGGTCCGTGCACGTGGGCGAGTCCACCAGTGTCAGCAGAGGCAAAGACCAAGTCGTCGACGTACACGAGGATGTAGAACAGCGGCAAAGAGGTGTTGGTGCGTAGAAAAAGCGACGGGTCGGGTGTAGAAGGAGCAAACCCAAGAGCCGCAAGTGTGGTCCTCAGTGTGTCATGCCACTCACGGAGCACCTGGCGGGGACCGTAGACTGGCCGCCGGAGGCTCCACTGGGTACCAGGAGGAAACGACCGAGTGAAGCCAGGTGGGCGGCGCAGCCAGATCTCTTCGTGCAGGCTGCCCTGTAGGAAAGAAGTGTGTAAGTCAAGAGAGTGAAGCTTGTAGTCGCGCTGAGCGGCTATGTGCAGCAGCACCCGAAGAGTGGTCATCTTTGGGGTGGGAGAGAAGGTCTGAAAGTAGTCAAATCTCTGCCGCTGACTAAAGCCTTGAGCCACGTAACGCGCCTTGAAGACACGCGGAGAACCCGGCAGCCGCTTCACCCTGAAGATCCACATGCCACTGACGATGTTCGCCCCAGGTGGGGGAACCTCGTCAACGTAGGTGCCTGTGGACTTCCAGGAAGCCATCTCTGCATCCATAGCTGCCTGCCACTGAGAGGAGTAGGGACCCTCTATGGCCTCTGCGTAAGAGCGCGGAGTCAGGATGTCTGGTGCATCCGGGTCTCCCTCACGGGCAATCAGCATGGACACGAGATGAGGTAGAGCAGCAGCAAAACACTGGAACTCCACCTGCCTGTCCTCAAGGACGTCCGTGCCAAGACCACACTCACCCTCGACGGACGGAGGACAAACAGACTCAGACTCAGCAACAAGACTAGCGGTTGGGTCTAGACGACAGCGAGCAGCAAAGTCTACAAGCTCAGCAACTAGGGTAGACGTAGCAGTGGACTCAAAAGAAGGATTAGTCACAACAGTGGCCAGAAGACGCGTGACAGTAGGACTGGCAGCAGGAAGAGAGTCAGACTCCGGGTCAGCAAGAGTAGGAAGAGAGGACTCTTGAGGAGATGGCACAGGGACCCGTGGCACCAGTACCCTCAGCAGCAGTAGAACCTCCAACTTCAGCTGCACCTCCAGCTCGAGCACTACGGCTCCAGCGCCGAGCAAACCACTTGTGCAGCTCCTCTGGAGAGGGTAGCTTCCGCCGGGACGAAGCACCCGAAGGACCTCCAGACCTAGTACCGCCAGACTCCACACGAGTAGGCCCAGCACCCTCAGGCTCCACACCCCCAGTCGCAGCACCCCTAGGCACAGCACCCCCAGGCTCAGCACCCCTAGCAGCACCAGAGTCAACAGCTACCTTGACAGGCTCGACTGCGTCTAGCTGAGACACATCTGAGGGGGCAGGACCCTTAGGGGGAAGGGGGTCTACCGGGGGGGGGACCTGGAGCGAGGAAGAGCGGCGGCGGGGGAAAGGGTGTAGTGCGGTAGGGGAAGAGAAGGTAGTAAGGAACTTACTCGTCAAACGTGACCTCCTGGGAGGACAGAACACGGCGAGAGGTGGGGTAGTAAAACTGCCAACCAGGCGCGTCAGGGTGGAAGCCAAGGAAGACGCACGGGGGGGCAGCGTGTGCGCATACAAGTCGCGGACAAAAGCCCGAGATCCCCAGGCACGAAATGCAGACGCATCGCCAACCTTCCCCGTCCACCGCAGAGTAGGGGAGGTCTCTGGCAACGAGACCCGGGGCTGGAGGTTGATCTGATGCGCCGCGTACTGAACCACGAATGGCCACAGAAAATGGGGAGCAGCCGCATGGATCATGGAGGTGCGAGCGACGTCCATGACCATGCCAATGCGGCGCTCAGCAAATCCCATTTTGCTGTGGAGAGGCCGAAAGTGTGAACGTCTGGCAGATGCCTCGTGTACGACAGAAGGCTCGCAAAAGGTCAGAGGAAAAATCTCCGCCTCTTTCAGAGTGCACACGCAGAACAGGAGACGAGCTGCGCGGATCTAGTCGATCAACACCTCAGTGACCTCACCCTTAATGCGCAAGGGGAAGACTGTGGTGTCAGTGTGTACAGGCTCGACCCCTGGATGACGGGTAAACGTGGCCAAGTTTCGGCCCGTCCGAGCACACGTGCAGTGGGTCACTCGCTGACATGCAGGAGTGAACTGGTCAACCCCCCCATCATGTAGATCAGCACCACTCACCAAGTTCATAGAGAACGAGGGGAGGAAAGACTTGACAGGGTGCTAGAAGGGGCCGCCGGACATGCTAAGACAGTGGAGAAGTGGGCAAGGACAGGACCCCCAGAAGGGTCTTCCACGCAGACCGCAACCGGCCGACTAAGCGGCGTGAGTGTGGTGCGGTCTCGAAAGAAGGAGCGGGAAGCACCCAAGTCAAGGGTGAAGGTGTAGAAGGCTTGAGCCGACGTGGTACCTGTGAGAGCAGACTCACCAGCACCTGGGGCAGCAGACACACTAGCACCTAGAGCAGTAGCCTCACCAGCACCTGGAGCAGCAGCCTCAATGCCCGCGTCAGGCGGAACACACAGGTAACAGTCACCCTCATCACTAGTAGACACAACATACATGGCAGCAAGAATAGCATCATAATCAAGATCAAAGATAGCAACCCCCGACCTAAGCAGCTCGCCCCAGCGAGGGATCTCAGTGGCGCCAGGGAACTGGTGACGCAAGGCGTCTGTGAGGCGGCCGAAGCAGCGCTGGGTGGTGTGCGGGCCACCGCACGGCTCACTAGTGCGGTCGCCGGTACGCAGGACGTAGGCATAGGGACCAGCACCCCCACCCCGCTGACGCGCAGCGTACCACTCACGAAGCTGCTGAGGGGGCGGGGTCTCACGAGTGCGCTGTTGCTGCTGGCGCTGACCACCACAGAAGCCACCCCGCTGCACAGAGCCACCCCGACCAGCTCCACCACAGTCGCCGCCACCGCCGCCACCGCCGCCTCCTCCGCTCCCACCGCCACCGCCGCCTCCGCCTCTGCCTCCACCGCCGCCACCGAAGTCCCCACCCCCGCCACCACTCCCATCCCCACCCCCTCCCCCTCCGCCGCCTCCAACGCCACCTCCACCACCCCCGCCAGCCCCTCCAGCGCCCTTGCCCCCCTTGCCCTTGCCGTTGCGGCATCTCCCGCTAGGGGCTGACGCAGCGCCGACCGACTCGGTGCCAACGAGGTCGAGCGCAGCACGAGAGGCAACAGAGGGCAAAAGGGGGGAGGGGGAGCACCCCTCAAAGAAGGGGGTACGAGGGTCACCAGGAGAGGCTCCTACAGCGACAATACTCTTCTCAGCTGCCAAGAGGCGCTCCTCGAGGAGGTCAACGGTGAGAGTGGTGGGGCAAACAGAGAGGAAGTGGTCCCTGACCGAGCGGAGGGAGTCAAGGAGTCGGGTGACTAGGTAGTAGAGGGTGATGCACATGGGGGGGGGGGGGGGGGGGGGGGGGGTGGTTCTTGGCGCAAAACTCAGCAGGAAGCGCAGCGCGGTAGCGGGTGTCACTAGCCGAAGGTTCGTAATGAGATCAGCGACTGTGGGAAAGGCGGCGAGGTCAGGGAACATGTACGGCAGCATGAGGCGACTATGGGCAGCAGTGGCAGGGGAAGAGTAGCGTGGAACTACAGCGTCGTACAAGGTCTTAGCACTCTTGTACCGACTGCGCGCGCTCAGTGGACGGCAAGTGACTACGCACAGTATGACGGGCAGGAGCATCGCGTGTGGCCCACTGTGAGCAAACAGTACTGTCAGCATCGGCAGCAGGGGCAACAGAGGCGCCAGATGTGAGATCAAACAGTGAGAGACCATCTTTTCTATCGCACTGGAGGAAAAGCTGCAGATCATCGACCAAGACCTCAAAGTCGACAGCCCGACCCTCAGCATCAAAGGTGAGAACACTAGGGGTAGCCATGACAGCAGCACTAGCAGGCTAGCAGTAGCTCAGCATGAGAGGCGCGGCTCGGCGGTGCTCTTACCAGGGGCGGGAGGGCAGGGCCGAGGTGCGTCGGGAGGGACAGGGCCGTGACAGGGCGGCAGAGGAGTGCCGCGCCTCGGCTGCAGGGCAGGGCTGGGACGGCGGTGGGGGCTGTCACGGTAGCGGCAGCGGCGGTTGTCTCAGCAGGAGCGGCGCCGTCTGTCACGGCAGCAGCGGCGGCGGGGACCGGTCGTAGAAGAAGCAGCAAAGGCAGCAGGCACGACGGGAGCTGCTGCTGGGGCGGCGACGGCTGGGCGGCAGGGCCATGAAGAGCCGGGGAGGGGCCGTGAAGGGGCCGCGACGAGCCGCGAAGGAGCCGTGGAGGGGCCGTGAAGGGGCCACGGAGGGGCCGCAAAGGGGCCGCTAAGGGAGGCGAAGGGGCCGACCAGGGGCCACAAGGGGCCGTGAAGGGGCCGTAAAGGGCGGCGACGGGGCCAAGAAGGGGCCGCGAGGGGCCGTGAAGGGGCCGCGAGGGGCCGCGAAGAGCGGCGAAGGGGCCGAGAGGGGCAGCGAGGGGCCGTGAAGGGCCGTGAGAGGGGCCACGAAGGGCCGCGGAGAGGCCGCAAGGGAGCCGCAAAGGGGCCGCGATGGGCCGTGAGAGGGGCCGCGAAGGGGCCTTAAGAGGGCGCGACGGGCCGCTAAGGGCAGGGGACGTGACGGGAGGGCAGGCGCATGGGGCGCGACTAGGGCAGACGCGAAGCGCGCTCCGGGCAGGTAAAAAAAAAAAATCGATTTCGTGGTGGGCCCTAGGAAACGTTCCCACTAGGGAACCTTCTCTATACCATGTTAAATCATGAGGAATGATTGACTAGGAAATGAGTTTGGTACAAATATGTAACCCTATGAAACTGTACCCCATACTGTCTACCCCACTACAGCCTAGAACGACTAAAGCATAAATGTTTGACAGGTGGAGCTCGCATAGAGGAAATACGAGGCTTATCTCCCCAGGCCAGCGGAGAGAAGCCGGAGGCCAACATGGGCGGCAGCAATAATACCGGAAGGGGGAGGGAGGACGGATGGACGAGGGGAGTCAGGGAGTGACACCAGGACATGTCACAGGTGTGGGCCGCTAGGGCACCTGCGCAGGGACTGCAAGAACGGTGACGGGTGTGGGAAGCCAGGGCACAGGAAGCGGGAGTGCCCAGATGCAGCCAGGTGTGAAATCTGCAAGAAGCGGGGGCATGAGGCGAAGGATTGCTACCAGAGAGAAGGGGGAATTAGGAGGCATCCGGAGGAGCTGCACCAGCAAATGAGTAGGTTGCATGCACAGCTCAGGGCGACCAAGCTGAGAGGGGAGGCAGAGGCAGGGATGTACGCTCTCAGGAAGGGGAGGAGGTGGAGCTGGATGTGCAGTGTGCCCTCATGGCTAGGAGAGGAAGGGAGGAGATGGGGCTGAGGAGCGGAGGCAAGGATGGCAGGCAGGAGCAGGGAAGGAAGGAACAAATGAAGGGAGAGAAGCCAGCCGAGCCAGCCTTGGAGCGTGCCCCTGCACGCCATCCCCAAGAGAGGCTGGCGTGCCAGACCTCGGTGCTACTGCTGGAGAAGGGAGCCATGGAAGTGGAGGGAGAGAAGGTAAAGACAGCCATCATAGACACGGGGGCACAGAGTGTGATGTTGGGCAGAGGGATGGCTGAAAGGCTAGGGTTGCTGGCGCCGGAGAGGCATGTGGCAAAGGGGATGTTGGTAATGACGGCGGAAGGGGGGGAACCGAAGTGGATGCCACGCACCTGAACGCCTATAGAAGTGACGCTGATGCCGGGGGGGGAGCATGAGACCAAAATCTGCATGAAGTATGGGATTTCTGAGTTGGAAGACTTTGAGTGCTAGTGGGCACCGAGCTGGTGTATGCGGTAGGGATGACAATATGCACGTGGATGGAGAAAGTCGAGTTTAGGACGAGGTATTGGAAAAGGGAGGGGCCACGGGGAGAGCTGCCAGTGCGGTTCGTGAAGGTGGAGCCGAAGAGGGCGTACCAGGCCGTGGGGGGACTGCTGCTTGGGGAGCAGGGGGGGACACCAGGGTTGGGAGGAGCACCCAGAATGAAGGGGAAGAACAAGCCACAACAGCAGGGTGATTGGCAGCAGCCCATCTACCTGGTGGAGCTGTTTGGGGGGATAGGGGCAGGGCTGTCCGCGGTGGTGAGGAACGGGATAGCGGTGAGGAGGTGGACGTATGTCGAGAAGGAACCCGGGGTTAGGAGGATGGCGGAGCATCATGCCTCGAAGCTGCAAGCGGAGTTTCCAGAACTGCTGAGTGAGAGGGTGATTAGAGAAGCCATGGGAGGGACGATCCACGATGTGAAGGAGATAATGGAGGCGGAGGTGGCGCGCTGGGGGCAAGTGGATCTGCTGGTAGCAGGGTGGGAATGCCAAGGGGTGTCGTGGGCAGGCAAGGGGAAGGGAGAGGAAGATCAAAGGACAAGGCTAATGGAGGAGCTATTCTGAATCCTTGAGTGGCTGTAGGAGAGGTAGGGCAGGGTGGCATACTTGCTAGAAAACCTGGACCTGGAGGGAGACCGCAGAGAGCCGATCCGACTGGTGAGAGACGGATTCAGGGGGCAGCTGGGAGAAAGAATGAGCTGTGATGCGGCCAGAATGGGGTCTTATGCACACAGGCTCAGAATTAACTGGCAGAATGTGGTCCCTGCCGTAAAGCTGCAAGCAGAGGTGGATGGGGTGAGGCGAGCAGCAGAGAGGAAGGTGCAGGACATCCTGGCGCCAGGGCGTACCCCAGCGCCGGTGTGTCGCAAGAGCTACAGCAGGCATGAGCAATGCAACCAAGTAGGGCAGGAGAGGCGAGCACTGCCCACTCTGGTGGCATATGTGGGGCCAGCAGGGTACAAGTGGGAAGCAGGGAAGCCCGGACTGGGGATGGTGTATGATCACGGGAGATGGAAATGGGAGGAGCCCACGGCACGCAAGCGGGAGTTGGCTATGGGGTACGGAGAACATGCAACAGCAGCATCCGAGGCGAATGAGGCGGACAGGAGGAGGGCTCTGGGGAATGCAATGGATGGCCATGTGCTGAGGTGGCTAATTCAGCGGATGTGGCGAGAGACGGTCGTTAGCTGGGGGTAGGAAGAAAGGAAGGGAGGAACGGAGGCAGAGCCGCGGGGAGCATGGAGCTGCCAAGAGAAGGAGGAGGAGAGCTGGGTGGTGGGGGAAGCGATGAGCAAGGAAGGAAAGGGTGCCATGTAGGAGCTGCTGGCCAGGCATAGGAAGTGTTTCGCTTTCACCATGCAGGAACTAGGGAGGTGCAAGGTGAAGGAGATGGAGCTGAAGCTGAGCAGCACCGAACCAGTGTTCCACCGCAGGAGGAAGATGCCGCCCGGGGGGAATCTGTAAGGAGAAGATCAAGGAGCTGCTGGAAGCGGGACTGATTAGGAGATCAGAATCCGAATACACCACACCAACAGTGGTGGCAGCCAGGCGAGACCTGATAGGGGAAGTGTTGAGTAGGAGGATGTGCGGGGACTACAGGGCACTTAACGAAATCACCATAGCAGACAAGTACTCGATGCCAATGGCAGAAGAGGTCTTTGACAAGTTAGCGGAGGGGGTGTTCTTCATTACGCTGGACCTGCGGCAAGGGTTCAACGAGATCAAGATCCGGGAGGAGGACATCAAGAAGGCGGCTTTTCATGGGCCAGATGGGCTATATGAGTGGCTGTACATGCCATTTGGACTGTGGAACGCATCAGCAGTGTTCCAGAGGTCATGGACAGCGTGTTGCGGGGAGTGGTGGGCACGGCCTGCTACATTGATGATGTGGTAATCTTCAGCACAACCGAGCAACAGCACCTACAGGATGTGGCAAAGACCCTGGCGGGGATTGAAGAAGCAGGACTCACCTGCCACTCGAAGAAGTGCAGATGGGGGGAACAAACAGTGCAGTATCTGGGGTACGAGGTAAAAGGGGGACACATAGGGATCCAACAGGCCAAGGTAGAAGTCCTGGACAGACTGAGGGAGCGGAAGGACAAGTCAGGGCTGAGAGCAGTAATGGGCTTCCTGAGCTACTACAGGCGGTTTGTGACCAACTTCAGCAAGAGAGCGGCGGTGCTGAATGGGCTGTTGCTGGAGGACAAGGTGTGGGAGTGGGGAGAAGCATAGAAGGGAGCACTGCAAGACCTGATGGCAGCAGTGAAGACCGCAACAGTACTCAAGCTGCTCGCCGCCGATCACCCCTTTATGCTCTACACCGACTGGAGCAGCCAAGGGATGGGGGGGGGTACTCTGCCAAGAGGTGGAAGGAGAGGAGAAAGTAGTGGCATATGCGAGCAGGAGCTGCAACTCAGCGGATGGGCAATACAGCTCCTACATAGGAGAATGGTTGGCGGCCGTGTGGGCAGTAGGGCATTTCAGGGTGTACTTGCAGGGGAGGGAATTCACCTTAGTGACAGACCACCAGCCTCTGACTTGGCTGATGACAACCCCAGGGCTGACGGGCAGGAATGCAAGATGGGCAATGAAGCTGCAGGAGTATGACTTCTAAATCAAGCATAGGCCAGGAAAGACATTGCAGCATGTGGATGGCCTCTCTCGGAACCCCCCACTGCCAGAGCCCACTGTGACCTTAACACTGCTGGCAAGATTAGTGGAGCAAAATGGGGCCAAGGAAGGGAAGGGGCCAGCAAATATTTGGGAAGATGTACAGGCAATGCGGTGGGTGAAAGGAGAGACAAGAGAGGACGAAGAGCTGACGGCACGAGTAGAGGCAAGGGGCCAGCATTATAGATGGTACGAGCAGCAGCCGCAGGTGCAGATAGAGGATGGGTGGAAGCTGGTGCCGGCCCCAAGCGAGAGAGAGGCAGTGATTAAGGAGGTACACACAAAGCTAGGGCACTTTGGCACGAAAGGACTGTTTAGCTGCTAAAGACAGGGTGGTGGTGGGAGGGGATGCAGAGGCAAGGGAAGGGGTGGGTAGAGGGCTGT